TTGCGCGTGTGGCTGCCATCTTCAAAAGGTTCTTTTCCAGCATTATATTTCTAGACCTTGGTAAACGGGACATCCACAAGAATCGTTGGCGTGGACGTGTTGAGGCCGTCGACTGGAAACGGAAGGCCACCGGTCGACATGGCCTCCAGCGCCCAAAACAACATCGTCGTCGAGTTGCGCGCAAAAGAGATCGGCGCCGTGTAGACACCGTACTGCAGCTGGAGGCTACCATTGTCGCCGCGCGCGATGGTCAAGTTGCCAAAGTACTCCGTCGAAATCGATGCGACGTACGTGCCAATTAGAGCGTGCTCGGTGACGACCGGGATCGGATCGGTCAGCTCGGCCCATGACGCGCCGCCAAAGACACGCGCATTGCACGGCGACGGCGGGCGCAGCGCGTTTGCGGCCGCGGTCGCCTCTTCAAGCCCGGTCACCAGCGTCCGCTCGGGAATGTCGAGGAAGATGCCCGCGAGGTACGTTCGCATGCGATCGGACAAGACGACATCTTCAAACGGGCCGCCGTGGGCCTCGGCGTTGGCAAGCAGCACGATACCAAGCTGCTCTTTTGGCAAAAAACCATTTCGAGTCTTGAACGCGATCGTGTCGCCGCCCTTTTCAAAGTAGTGACGACCAAACATGACGTTACCAATGATATCAAAGCCGTAGCCAGCCGTCATGGCGCCGCCGTCTGGGTTGTACGACAGGCCGACGAGCTTGGCGAGCGGCGCAAACATCGCTTGGAAGTTGTGGCCTGTGATCATGGCTTCGATCGTCTTGGGCGAGCGAAAGATACCGGCGCCTTTCGAGAGCAGAAACTTGGAGAAGATCGCAAGGTCCGCTGCCGTTGAGAGCATCGACCCGGCAGCCAAGTGTCCATTCTTGTACCCCAGTGCAATCTCGGGCGACGACCGCAAATCGTACGGTCCAGCGACTTTGCCGTTACAGATGACGTGGCCGAACGAGAGGTCGCCATTTGCTGATACGTCAGGAACTGCACCGTTCGTGTTGACCATACCGAGCGGCTGGAAAAAGGTCGCATCGAGGTACTTGGCCCACGTGGTGTTGGTCTGGTACTCGAGCACTTGGCCGAGGATCTCGAAGTTCATGTTGGCGTAGGCGTAGCCAGGACGGAGACGCCGGGTGGTCTTGAAGCTGCGCAGCGCTCGCACAAGGCTCCGTTCATCGGGGAGGACGCCAAAGCTCCAGCCGTTGTCGCCTTCGTATGCGCCGAACACTGAGTTCATGGCTGCGAGGTCGCCGAGCGTCGTGTACTTCTCGGCGTACTTGTCAACAAGCTCAAACCACGGGAGACGCAGCTTGACCGGGTCATCCCAGCTCAAGCGGCCTTCATCGACCTATTACAGTCGAGCATTTCCCATGAGTACAAAGGTATAATATCAAGATATCGACAAGGTACGTACCAGCTTGGCAATCCCCAGGGCAATAAATGTCTTGGTGAACGACCCAATCTGAAACTGCGTGTTTTCAGTCACGACATTCGAGTCGTTGCCGTACTAGACAATATAGATACATGAGAATTCGACACATTGTTGCATAATAGTGGACGTACTTGTTTGGTGCCAAAGCCGCGGGTGAGCACCGTCTCGTTCTGGTAAACGATCGAGAGGGCAAAGCCAGGCACTGCGTGCTGCTGGAGCTGGTCTTCAACAAATGCAATCGCCATCGCCTTCTTCTCGTCGAGCGACCGCTTCGGGGGCCAGTCGACGATAAGGCGGGCATGGGCGAGCTGCAATAGCAAGATCACCGCCACGTACATCCAGCGCATGGTCCTCTTTAGATGATGGCAATTTGAAAAGTGAGGACGTGGTGGGAACTTCCCACCATGTCCTCACACCCAACGACCCAACGCAACACAGGACACTATCCAGTGGGAAGCGTCCTGTGTTGCGTTGGGTCGTTGGGTCGTGCTCATGATACCGAGCTTTTGATTGGCTACCTTGAGTTAGTCAATCGTTGACGACGTGCATTCCAACGCAGATTGAATGTAATGCACGCCATTTCCGGTAAAGCTTACGCGCGGCCAATCCAGCGCCTCTATTTCCGTATCAAGGAGGCGGCAGACCACGCCAGCTCAGATTGCCCCATCCTTGGAAACCATGTATCTTCAACGATTGCCTAACTTGCCAATGCAGCTGTGGGCAGCCACTTTGCCTTTAGCGGTCTCGAGCACACTCGATCGCGATCATGCGCTTCCTCTTCCTAGCGCTCTCGTCGTACCTCGGTCTCTGGGTCGACCAAGTGCGGTTCATCCCGGCTCTGCTACCGTCGCCGTCGACGTCAACAACCGGTGGACGGTCGCTTCAGGACAAGAAGGCCGAAGCCATTGCGTTCATCCACGACCAAATGGCGACGCACGCGCTGCCGGGTCTTGCGCTCGCTGTGGTCTACAAGAACGAGACCATTATTGCGTCCGGTTTTGGCACCAAGCAGGTATCGATCCACTCTATCCTGACGCGATGTGGAAATGATGTCTGTACTTGATTCTAGTATGGCAACGACACGAATGCGGTGACCGCCGACACGATTTTCCAAATCGGTTCGTTCTCCAAGACCTTTATTGCCCTTGGTATCGGCAAGCTCGTACGTCGATCTTGCTCATTTTGATGTAAGTGTCTCACACGGCGCCGTCGATAGGTGGACGAAGGTCGACTTCATTGGGACGACCCGGTCAAGCTCCGCCTTCCGTGGTTTCAGCTCAACGACAAGTACGCCGAAGAGTACACGACACTCGGTGATCTCCTCGCGATGAACTCGGTCTTTGCATCCGGCCAAGGCGACGAAGCGTGGATGCTTGGTGGCGTTGACGAGCGTGCGGCAGTGCGCGCGGCTGCCTACCTTGATACAGATGGCCGGCCGCTGCGTCCTGGCTACGCCTACGCCAACATGAACTACGAGATCCTCGGCCAAGTCATCGAGCACCAGACCAACCAAACGTGGTCGCAGTACCTCCACACGACGTTCTTCACGCCGCTTGGCATGACCCACACATATGGCGCCGTGCGCGAGGTCCCGTCGTCTGGCGACCTCTCATTTGCCCACTACCACTGCAACAAGCTAGTCGCGGGGCCGTTTGACCAGAGTGCATCACCGGAAGTTGTCCTTAACGGAAACGACTACATCGCCGCGGGTTCGATCGTCTCGTCGGCGGGTGACTTGGCGATTTTCTCGAAATTTCTGCTCTCTAAGGGCGCGGGTGTCTTTCGGTCGCCGGCCATTGTCGACACGATGATCACGGGTCACAATATCAACACGATGTTTTCGGCCCTCGGGCCATTTATGGGCTACGCCTACGATGCTGATGGCGACGCACTCACGGCCGGCTATGGCTTTGATGCCGTTGGCGACATCATGTACGGGTACCAGTACTTTGACAAGGGCGGCGACACCTTTGCTTTCAAGACGCGCAACGGGTTCATTCCGACAGAAGACCTCGGTGTCGTCCTCCTCTCCAACTCGGAGGGACGAGGCGGTGCGTTCAGTGACTCTTGGATCGAAGACCGCATCCGAACGTACCTTCTCGGCATCTTTCTCGACGTGCCGCAAGCAACTCTCAAGGCCACGTACGAGTCGGCGCGGGCTATTGCCGACGCCTCTCAGCCGTCGACACCTTGTGATGCCCACCTCTTTCAAGGCTCGCCGTGGTCGAGCGTGGGGTCCCCCGTGCCAACGAGCGACCGCCGAGCACTGGTTGGCACCTACGTCTCTGCTGCGTCGCCCGCGTTCTACGGCACCTTGACGCTTTCGGAAGGCAACGGCTCGCTCTTGCTGCACTATGGCAGGGACACGGCCCCGGTGCTCGTCAAGGAAGACGGCGGGTACCTCTGGACGACAGCAACGGCAGGTTATGTGTTCGCTTCGAGCCTTGATATCCAGCATATTGGCACCAACCAGACGCAGGTAACACTCCTCCGGCACCCGTTTGTGAAGAAACCGTAATGCAAACGTGCTTGATGATGACACCTGCCCCATGTCTATGGATTGTTTGGTTCGATCCTGTCGGTGGTGCCCACGGTCCACATTATGGCTTGAACACATGCACTTGTAGAGCTCTTCTTTGTGAGAATGCCTCAACGGCGGCGCTTCCGACGGCGTTGAACGGCCACGAGCTACACCACTGTCTTTAGCGAACAACGTCTTGTAGCACACACAAGGGATGGAGCAAACCTTGGCCTTTGCACCGCCCTCGATTTGCTTCTTGCCACCTTGGGAACCACTCGGTTTGGGCGCAGCTGGGGCGCTCTTCCTTCCCGCAAAAGGCTTCCTGCCGCCGAGTAGCTTGCGCGTTTTGAACTTGTCACGTACAGCGTCCTCGCCTTCGCGGGCCTTCCGCTTCGTCCCTTCTTCGCTGATCGGAAAGAACTTTTTTACTGCCGCCAGGGTCGTCATTTGAGCCTCGAGCGGCTTGGCGTAGGTGAACAAGGAGTCAAACTTGTGGATGCGTAGCACGTCACGCATCGCATTGCGCAGCTGCGCGGGCTCGAGCTGATCCGTGATGATCTTGAGGATTGCTCTCCGCGGCCCCGAGGTCTTCATGTCTTCTTGCAGGGCATGGGTCTCGATGATCGTTTGAGCGTCCGTGATGAAGCTGGCCACCTGCCCAAAGACGTCTTCGTCCGCGTCGTACTTGATCTTGAGCCCTTTAAAGAAAGCGACGTAGTCGTCGGTCGTGTGAGTGTTTGTGTGTGTGCCATCGTTCGCGCGCTCATGCATCAACTCCGTCAAGCGACGTTGAAACTCCTTCTCCGTCAGGTCGTCGATGTCGATATCCCACTTGAGCATACACACCGTCTCCAAGAGATCGCGCTCGATCGAGTCAATCCACTTCTTGTTGTAGACCTTGACCGGGACACCCGTCGCCTTCGAGTGCTCGAGTACGGCCTTGTCGTACTTGTCGCGCTTCTTCTTCCACGCGAGCAAGTACTTCCGGCCCACGCTCTCAATGGGCGGGAAATCGATTGTCACGAATATTAAGCCCGTCATTGAAGGACCATAGTCGCTCGTTGGCCGTCCGGTCAGCGTCTTCTTCGTCATCTTGTCAAAGACAATTCGAGACCAAAGTACTAGCGTCCGCGGTGCCAGCACAAGCAGCAGCGAGGGGAGAGCCGTCTCCCGTGACGCAGGCAGTTACTGATCTACGTGAACGATCCCCATGTCTACCGGACGTGACTATCTAGGAAGGGTCACTACCGGCGTGGAAGGATAGACTAGACGTACAGCTAGTATGTAATATGAAAACCCTTACAATTTGTATCTTCACTCGGCTTCTCCAACTTAACGCAGCTTGCATTGGTAGGACATGGCTAGCTTTTGGTCCACACACAACACTATCCACGGCTCACCACCTGGGCGTCGATGAAGACTTCTACGAGGCGCCTGCTGCCGTGGCCACCGCAGCCGAGCTCCGGCTACCCGACGCCATCTTAACCAAGTACGCCGACTTCGTCTACCAAGTGATGCTCCGCGCGGTCAAGTTCCGCGCACATTTGCACTGGCTCGACAGGCCGACCAAGCGTGCCTCTTCTACCCCGAGCATGTACCGCCACTTTCTCGAGACTGCGACTTCATCAAGGACGTGTGGAGCACGCTTCACGCCGTCACGGTCCCTTTGGGTGTGACCTTGCCGACTACGCTCTCCGGCTACCTCTACTCGACGCCCAAGACGGCGTCCAGCATGCACCAAGCCGCGTTCCGCTACCTCTGGCCCGTGCTCCGCGCCTGCGTCTGGTTCAACGTCTGGCGAGTCCGGAACGATCGCGTCTTCCGCGCCGACCTACCGCTGCCAAGTCCATGGACGATTGCCGTCAAGGCGGCACGTGTCGCTCAACTGCACTTGCACCACAGCCTCGTACAAGAGCC